CCCAGGGACCAAAGATATGAAACAAAACAAAAAAAAGCTTGCTTGGAAAAATTTGAAGCAAAAGTTAAAATCCTGTCAAGTTAAAGTAGATCGATATAAAAGTGAGCTTCCTGACTTACAGAGACTGTAGCTTCACTAATGGAGTAAACAAATCACCACGCAACTTCTTAATCTTGTTTCTGCCAAGCCATCTACAAAATAAGTGTTTTAAAGAATTTGACTAATTGTCATTTTAATAAATAAGCACATCTAAAGAACAAGATACGGCAACCTTAAGGTATCCCAGAAGGAAAATTAGCGTTTTCATTCAAACTGATGTAGCGTGAAAACGAAATATTATAAACAGTTTATTACGGAAGCCGAAAAGGGACAATCCAAAAAATAATATTGTGCAAATCCGAAAAAATATTTAGAATCAATATCTTACAGACAAATCGCTTTTAAAAGTTTGTCAAATCGAAAAAGCAATTTCAAATCCTGGTTTAATTCATAGATCCACTGATAAATTTCACGAAAGTCGAAAATAGTCTACAATCCAATAATCTTTCCTAAGTCCAAAAATTTCCCAAATTGAGAAAAATGTTTTGTCACGTGACATTTGTGCCCGGCCGTGGAAGGCTTTGGTAAGACATGGCGGATTTCTACGCAGCGTGAGGTAATAGGCTCAATCCTGGCGACAGGTTTTGTTTAAGATGTGGCTCAAAAATAACATTAACATCATTACATGAAAGAGGAGGAGAAGAGTGAGAAAAGGCTTCGCCAACGATGTCATTATCGCAGTTCACTGCAAGTAAAGGCGAAGGGTTCAAATTCCGTACAAGCCTGAATTTTTTGTTTGTTTGTTTGTTTTTTTTAATTTGGTTGGATAAACTAAAATTGGGAAGGAGTCTCAACAATATTTAAAAATTATTGTGTATACCAAACCGAAAAAAATGTAGCAAATAGGTAAACTCAAACAATTTCCAATACACCTAAAGTGTTGAAAAAACAAAATAAAAAATAAAAGCAAAATTGTTTCTAGATTCTTCTACTCCTCCCAGGTTGGAGCGAGGTAACCCCTAAAGTCAAGGAACGAGCCATTTTATCCTTTTTTCCGGACTGTTCTGTAATTGCTAAAATTTCAGCTTACCTGCGTTTGTCATGGCGCTATTTGATTTACCTCTTTGCAAAGAGCATAAGTTTTCTCCAAGAAAAGATGAATTTTCCAAAATTTACCTCACTCATAACGTATGGCTTTGTAGCTCAGTTTGCAGCATCGCCCAATTAGTATCCGTCCGTCCGAGCCTGAATTTTTTTTTAGTCAACTTTTCTGCAATTGGTAAAATTGCAGCTTACCCGCAAGGATCATGTCTTTCTTTAATTTTACATCGGCAGCTCCAAAAAATTTAATTTTTTACAAATACACAGCTTAAACTTGCGCAAAGAAGAGAACCTTTGTTTTGACAATATACTGTTTGTATATGATTGAAATGTAATAAACAAAATATCCCCTGTTTGACCTAACCATGTGTTCTCCAAGTGGAAGGGGAGAGTTGGGAATGTTTATTTTGAGCAGTCATTGTATGAAAAAAAGTCCGAATTGATTATTTTTTTCCTAATAATTGCTTACGTTAAGGGAAAGGCTCCATGAAAGGTGAATTTAAATGGGATCAGTAACGATTGAAATCGGATTTTCAATGCAGCCGATCGCATGGGCCAGTGGGCAATTAAAATTTAGAACCGAGTTTTGGTAAATACGCGATGTGATTTGTTCGATTTTGATCTGAATATTACGAACTAACAATATGTTCTCAAAGTGGGAGGGGGAAGTGGGAAGGAGGAGGTTGGAATTTGTTGATTTTGCTATTCTTGTTAACTTCAAATTTCTTTTCGACTGGCTGAGTTTTGAACTCTCCATCTTTCGGTAAATTGCGTCTCTCTGAACCCTTTTTGAAGCTAGTGGGATTAACAAAATTTTAATAGAAACTGAATCCCACTCCCACTAATAACAACGGCGATGGGATTTCTATTAAAATTTGAAACGGGGTCTTGGCAAATATGCCAGTTGGGATATAGGATTTGGATCCTGCCATTATGAGCTGTAAACTGGCCCCTCTGCAACGCATGGACTTAAGGGCAATTAAAATTTGAAACCAAGATTTAGTAAGTACGTGAGCTGAGATATTGGATTTGAGTCCCAACATTACAAATTGCTATAGTTTACACGTGTGACTGGGTCTGTATAAGCTTCTTAAAAATAAGTCTCATGGGATAAGCAATAAATGTTGTTTACTTACAGTCGAATCAACTTGGTGTTGTAGCTGAAGACTCCACGTGGTAGCTCTGCTATCTGATTGTCATATAAATACCTACGTAAACGATATTAAGAAAGACAATAAAGCAAATTAATCATCTCATGAAGTTTTAAGACTTACAGAGTTTGCAAAGTACATCTGTAGGAATAGAAATTAACTCTTAACTTCTTTCCAGACTCCTCTTCTACTGAGGGAGACCCTTGGAATTTCGGCCAAATCCCTCGAGACCTTAGTTACCGGTCATCATTTATCGCTTAAGTGGCCGGAAGGGAAGAGTCAGAGGATTTGGTTTAAAATTGCAGCTCGCCTGCGAGAATGGTGCCTTTCTTTAAATTTACATCGGCAGCTCCAAAGAAATTAATTTTTTTTAAAAAAATACACAGCCTAAACTTGCGCAAAGAAGAGAACCTTAGTTTTGACATAATACTGTTTGTAGATGATTCAAGTTTAATAAACAAAATATCTCTTTTTGACCTAACAGTGTGTTCTCTAAGTGGGAGGGGGAGGTGGGAATGTTCATTTTGAACATTCATTTTATGGAAAAAAGTCCGAATTGATTATTTTTTCCTGATGATTGCTTGCGTTAGGGAAAGGCTTTGTGAAAGGTGAATTTTAACACGAAGGCGCGTTATAAATAGGTTGGCTCCTCCCCTTTGTTTCAGCTCAAATGCAAAAATCATCCAATATGGCGACCAACGTTCCCACCATGAGTGAAACGGTCTGCATAGAAGACACACTTTAAGTGTTTTTTTTTTGTGTCAATAAATTAGAAGATATTGCGTCTTGTTGACTCTCATTCCCATAATTGAGCTCATTTTGATATTAATTGGCACTAACTTATCGTTCGGCCGCTCAAAGCGCTATCTGCGGTCGACGAGACACTCGCACAGTTGTCTTTTCAAAATTCGCGCCGTGTAACTTCGGCTTATGTCCCAAGCCCCTGATACAAACTGGTTCTTCGAGCCTTCAGATTATTCCCATTGAAACTAGCGGATTCATGACACATTCTATGCGCAATGCTCAGACTATTGTTATCTGTGACAATTCTGTGACAAAACCTCTAAAGTAGGGATGATTTCACAAGTAAGTGCGATTTTGAGACAGAATTTCACAACTCTAGTTCAGTTTGGAGAATAGTCTTGGCTGTCGCTGCTCGAAAGATATATTTATTGGGAAATTTATTCGTTATGGCTGAGGGAAATAAGCCATCTGTACCCAAGAAAAAGCATCCAACGGATCGAGGTCCACAGTTCTCGTTCAACATAGAAGTTCCTCGAACTCAGGAGAGCAGACTTCTCGGCATCAAAGACCGCATAAAGATGGCCAAAGGCTCGTTGAATCTTACAAAAGCGACGACAAGCACACAGAATGCAGATTTGATGGAAGCTCTTCTGTTAGCTTTTGAGGAGAAAATTGAGAGGAAATGACTGACATCGAGCGATCTGAGCTTATCATCAACGGGAAGTCCGAAATACACCATCCACAACTGCACGGTTTTCAATTCCTTCAGCTTCTTCCACTCCATCTTTGCGTATTTCTTTGCCTTTTGCTGATCCTTTTTCTCCAATTTCTCCTCCACAAGCAGAACGTACGTCACAAAGAATGCAAATCACTGCATCTTCAGTAGAGAACGACTCCATATATCTCTGCAGTAAAGAATCTCTGCGAACTCTGTTTTTTTTTTCTCTAATACGCTAACGACATCATGTTGTTATTGTGGAAAACCCTTCGATTGCGAGTCACTTGTCTTCAATCGACAGAGTCGTGTAGTGTCGGTGACAATTTCATGTGTTGGTGGAGATTCTTTCAAGTGGCTCTCCTCCCCTATCATGGGAGGATCTCCTCCAAAGTACTATGTAAATTTGAGGTGAGCACTCTTTTATTTTTGCTCGAAATTTACAGAAATTTGTTATCTCGGTATTTTACAGTTTTTGTTTTTTGTAACTGGTCACTTCTCTGTCTCTCTTTCATAGATTGATTCATGGAGTATTGTCCTGTGGCTTGACAGAGACAGAATACACAAGTTTCTGTCAAGCAGCCAACATCGGGTCAGAGGGAGAAAAGACCTCCGACACAGGTTAGCAATGCACATGCTCAGATGCTCTGAAAATCATGTAGTCTTTCTCCTTGCAAGGAGAAGGCAGTCAACAGCAGTTTGCAGGTTGCTAAATCATGAATGTTCTACCAAGATAGCTCAAACTGACTGAACTGTTCCTTCTTTGGTTTGTGCCTTACCAGATGCAATTCTAAAATACTTCTATTTTTAATCACTTCAACAGTCTTGAAAAAGCTCAGTTACTTGACAGTCATGAAGAGGGTCTCCAATGAGTCGATGTTGGCTACTCAAGAACAAGTGAAGAGTAACCCTGCATATGCTGTGAATGGAGAGGTACAAGTTGTCATTTTAATTTCATTTTGTCTTTGGCCACATACTTATACACCTGCCATACTCGGAATATATTATGTAGACTGGCACATACAAAAATATAAAATCTTATATCAGATTGTAAACCTTGAAAATATCTGTGAGTAGAGAAATGTGACCATTTTTATGTTTTGATTTCTACCATTTCTTCCTGCAGTGAGTTATAACAGATGCAAGGCATGATTCCAGTCGATCAACAGCACACACAACAGTGTCAGCCCTTTCTTTCTGGTAAGATGGTTTCTACTTGATCTCTTTGTATGATATGTTGAACCTCTGGTATGTTCAACACAATTTCATTTGTGTTAGCAGTTGTCAACTGGAGTAGGGCCAATGAAACTTCAGCAGTAAGCTGTGAGGTCCCTATGACAAAAGAGCTGCTGACTTATCTCTCTGAGACACAAGGTATGATAAATTTGCATCCTCAATAATATCATATCACATATGTAATACAAATATGGAGGTCAGAAGTATCTTTTATAATGCAGCTAAAGTAATTCTTTTTTCAGGGTTCCATGTTGCAGAGGTGGCATATGACTTTGTATTACAGCTAAAAACATGGATCTTGTCAAAAGGAATGCTTAATTCCTTTGACTCTTGGCATGGTACTCAGTACACACTTGTATTTTTTGGCTCATTTTGTCTTGATGATTATGACTATTTCTTGAAAGTTAGCATTTTATTGGTATTAATATTTTTTTTTTATTTTCAGGTGCAAAGTCTGTGACTAAAGCAATGAAGGAAGTTGCCTCAGGGGCCCAGAGGGATGAGGGCTCAAAGTGGTTTTTTGAATTGTTAGACAAAGGTAAGATATCTCTCTTATGAGAGTCATCAAAAGCTATATTCTCTCCACAATTACCTGCAGATGTCAAATTCCTTCTTGATATAAGATGACTATAATGGAATATAATAATTGTGAATATTTTACAGTGAAAAGTACAAGGACTCTTGTATACTTCTGCATGAAGAACAGTCCACCCAATGAAGAAGAATTTCAGGGTACACTGTTGAATGTAGTTGACCATTACCAGGTAATTTGAGTGACTGTTTATTGAGAACATAGTATTTTGTTTTCATTTCTGTAAGTACCTTTTGTTGTGTTATTCTAGTAAGATATGACATGATCATTACCTCAAAGATTGCACATATTTCTTTAATAATGGTGAACAAGAGACATTATACTTACTATAATTATTACTACTGATTTATTAATCTATTTTTCTATAACTTGGTGTATTTATTACTCAGGGAAATCATGTCAGATGCCATGCGGAGTCACGGTGCAAGCAGAATGGCTATGTGATGAGCAAAAAACTTTTAACTAAACCTGAAGTAGTAGCTGCATGCAGGGAAGCCATTATGGGCACTTCAATTTATAGGCATGCATCGGACTACATGCGGGTAATTAATTGACGCATGCTGTATGTTTATGTTTCTTTGCATGAAGAAGTTTATCTCTTCTTCCAAATTAATGATGTTGAGGTAAGGGCCATAAATGAGTTGAACAAATTCATTTTCCAGTTAAAGAAAAATCACCCATAATTTGTTGCCTTCTTCAGTGCAGGGAAACATATTGGATTGAGTCTCTCCATTCAGTGATGCTCATTTATGCTGCAAAGCGGATTCATTATGGGGATGACACATACAACATGTGCATGGAGTTAGCCATTCTTGATTGGGTAAGAAACTTATGTTGTTAATTCTGCACAATTACTTTGGCACTTTTTGGATTCACTGCCTTCTCTTGCTCATTGACTCATTTGTCTTACAGAATGAAAATGTGAATCGAGAAGCATCGTCTCTACAGATGTACCAACATACCAGGCATCCAAACCGCTTGGCAGAGACCAGGGTGCTTACTTCAAAGACATTTAATTTCAGAGAAACTATCTGGTCTACCTTTTTTAATATAAACAAATGATGTCTCTTCTGTTTTCCATTGCACCACAGTTTCTGTGATAATTACAACTAGGAGCCCAAATGTTCAGTATTAATATGTGAGGTCATTAGGGAGGACCAATTCTAACAACTGCTGGTACCAAGCAATGAAAACATGAATATTAGGTTTGACACAAGGTATTTCCAAGCAGACTCATTCTCTGTTTCCTCCTGTTACTTTTCTTGGCACTGTATATCTTTTCCTAACCTATAGGAAAGTCACTATAATTTGCTGTGTGGACATTGTAAAATGGACCATAAAAAAAAATTGGGTACTTGGGCTCTCTTTGAGGTGGGCATTTGTATGAGAATTTTATTATTCCCTTTTATGCCCCATATAGGCAATACCAGGAGGGTTAGGAAACCTTGACCTCACATCTTTTATAACACAATTGAGCATCCTTTCCCGCACTACATTAACGTGGTCCCCCAGTTCGACTTTTCTAGCCTGGTAAACAGGGTCTTTCCAGAGCCCACATTTGTTCAATGCTCTCCAGTACGTCTTCTAATCTTTTCTACGTCGCACGTGATTTTGAATATGTGCTTCGCGATAGCCAAGGTATTCGCGACTGTCGGTCGTTACACATGGCGTTTGCCAACAGTAAATACACATTTCGAACTCGTCCCCTCTTGCATCAGCTATTGTGGAGACAAGGTGAAATAACTGTTAGAGCGAAAGCGCAACTGAACGGTCATGAAGTCTGATATGATCGTACAACTAGTCTTCCCGCCTACATTTTATTTTGGACAATTTTTATGTACATTTTTCATGTTTAATTGACACGTATGCCCATGGTGTAGCATAAAATATCGCAATAAATATAACTTGTAGTTCTAAAGAAA